ATTTCATGGCATTCCTGTAATAATTGTCGTATATACAACTGTGAGAAGGGTATTGTATAATTATTACACTTATTGATATAATTACTACTGGTATATTTAGTATATAATAGTTTATTAACTATTATAATTAAATACAATAACAAATATTATTATATAGTAAATAACAGTTCTTCAATAATAACCATATAATGAAACAAACACCAATAGCACTTCCACTTAAAAAAGATGATAAGGAAAGAAACCTATGCCTCCTCTTTCATTATTAGACTTAAGACAGATAAATAGATGTCTTAAGTCTAATAATCTAGAAATCAAAATAATAAATAATAATAATTTCAAAAAGATTCCAAGTCCTCTTTGGTTCTACCTTGCACTTAACCTTTTACCTAACACATTTAACAAAACATAATATGGTTACGATATCAGACACAACAAAACAACATTGTTCACATTATCACACCTCATGTGTATGGATAATATCAAATTTTACACATTCACACAGAATTAGCTTCATCATCTCTTACAAATTATCTCTTACACAATTCATTTGTATATTCAAATAATATACAAATGAAGTTTGGTCCAGACAAATGCAAAACATTCCACATTCAAAAAGGAATTCTGAGACTTTGTACTCAGATATAGCGATAGTGTTGTCCGGTTTTCACCCTGACAAGCTGGTTTTTAAATTCATGGTCTGGATTGATTATTAATTTGTCCAGTTTTTGTAGAAATTGTGTAATTATGATAAAACAAATTTATAAAAATATTTGTGAGTATTTTATTTTAATGGTTAAACACTTTAACTTCACACCCTCACCCAAACTTATCTCCATATTATCCGTAGGCTAAGAGTGACAGAAAATGTATTTTTAAAATTCTAACTTGCAAATATCTCTGGCAAATATTAGGTCTGTTCCAACACATTATGAAAAATGCTCACTCTGGAAAAACCAACAAGTGCACTCCACTCACCCAAGAAATAAGACAACTGTGGAGGATGGATAGGATATTTATTATACCTATTGTTCTCTCTTTCACTGGTGTCATACCACATACACTACAACACTACACAAAATTCTAGAAATGTTAATCCTTAATAAAAACATATACAATGCACTATAGAAAGCTGCAATATGCACTTGTCACATTGTTAAGAAGTTTCACATGGACACATATACAAATAACACAGAAGCTTACTGTTATACTTGTTTGGGTAACTGTGCTTTGACTTTATTCCAGTACTTAGCACCAGTATCAGCTGGGTGTGACATTTGCATAATTATTATTATTATTATTATATTTAAGAATAATTATTTACAATATTTAATATTATATGATAATTATATAAATTAAAATATTGTAATACATTTTTATTCTTTGCAGTATTTACAAAAATTCTTTTCAACTACTTTTATGCACAAGCATCCGTTATGGAAACAAATCACACCATATGAAATTTATAACAAAATACAGAAAAAATTTTCAACATCATTTCATAAAATGCACAACTAATCGAGTATCATTTAATAGGTAAAAATGTATAAAATCTCCAATTTAATTTTATAATTAGTGTATTACATGAACAATTATTATTGTGACATCATCACAATAAATAATTGCTCTTGTAATACACTAATACAGGATGCAATTTTTAATCATATTTTTAATTTATTTAATTTAAAATATATGCTCTGCATGTCAAATTAGTAGTGCCCCTGTACATCACTGTTTCCTTTAACAATAGAATCATGCCCATCTTCTATTAACTGCTTTCAGGGAAAAAGCTTTGAATTGAAATAACATAACTTCTGGTTTGCATCAGAAGTTTGTATACAGTTAATCGGAGCCTTCTGTCCCTAAGGTTTCCATATCTGGTCTTGTTATCTGTCTAACTCCGTAAGAAAAGACAGACAGACGGACAAACAACAGTGGGAAATTATAAGTCTATAAGTCTATAATTTTTTTGAAATTGCAGCCCAATAAATAAATATAGTTATAGGTGTATAAACTAAAAATATCCACAGTTTTGGTAGACAAGTTTGATATTTTTTAAAATTTATTAGCATAGATTGTTGCGCAGACTCAATAGATTTAAATTCATTTTGTCAGGGCAATAATATTACAAACATAAAGAAAATGGTTTAATGTAGTTGGCAAATTTTACAAACATGAGGAAAGGGAGGAGAAGCTTCAGTTAAACATTTCAGGGATGGCAAGTAGGACTGTTTACAGCATCATAGAAAAGTTGGAAAGTGGTAAGATATCTGGGGAGTGGATGAAAGAGAATTAAAATGACAGATAGCAAAAGTGTCATTGGAAAGAGAAACAATCAGAGAAGTTGAACAGTCACTAAGAAAACCTGGAAGAAAGATCAAAATGTCTCTTCAGTATGTTAAAAACATACTAATCAAGCAAAATGTCCTTTGGAAGCAAAAGTCAGCCCCAAAAAAAACAAAAGAAAACTCAAATTGCAAAGGACTCTTCTGTAAAAAATGCAGGAGGGCAATTTCAAAGCTTCAAATGAACTGGATGTTGTTATGGACAATGAGTCATACTTTACTTTTGATGGAAGTAGCTGCATTAGGAACAATACTTACTATTGTAAGGATGGGGTTGAGATTGATTTACATGTAAAATTTAAATACCATGCAAAAGTTTATCAGAAAATATTGATTTGAGTAGTAATCAGTCCAAAAGGAAGATCTCAAGCATTCTTAGCACCCTCTTGTCTTTGCATCAACAAAGAAGTGTACATAAAGGATTGTCTAAGATGACCATTCCTCAAGAAATATCATTCAGGTAGTCTGTATATATTCTGGCCAGACAGCTGCATAGTACATAACAGATACAGTTTCTATGCTAGAGGAATATGGAATCTCTTATGTCAGCAAAGAGAATACATTACAAATATTTCTCAGCCAATTGAACAATTCTGGTACCAGGTAAAATAGAAATTATGTGAAAATGAGCACTGTCAAAAATGAAGTGGAATTGAAATACTGCATCAAGTTCAAACTCTGCCAATTTAATTCCATGCACTTTCAAACCCTGATAGCCATTATCAATTCTAAAATAAGAAAAACTGCAAACTGTGGACCAAATTTTATAATTTAGAGACTGAAAAAACTAATTTTGTAAATTTTGTGTTATTGGATAATCATATTGTAAAAGAAAAGAAGCTTGATTTTGTAAAATTTTTTGTTTACGCACCCTTATTTATGATTTTATTTAAATATACGATAAAATATAGTTGTTATAATATTGAGTATAATTATTATACTTTAAAGTTAGATGCATACTGAAAAAATATGAAAATGTAATAATACAGTAGTAACATTTACAATAATAGAAAATACTAATGATTGAATTTGTATTAAATATAACAAATTTATATTTGAGGCTGAGCATTAACAAAGCCTCTTCTATGTGGCTTACAGAATTGTGTTCATTCTCAAAATCTGTTTGATTGATTTTGATTAAACTTTGTCATTTTCCAATAATGATGATTCCAATTTAGATGAGAAATCCAAAAATGTAATAAAAAAATAGGGATTCATAACTTCATTTTCGATATACAGTGGGGTCAAAGTGACAATGTCTGTTCTTTCTGACAGAACAGAGCACACAACAGAATTTAGGGGTCAAAAATAAAAACAGTAATGCATGCACCTAACAGAAAATAGAAGCACGTGATGTCCTAGTAGTATTATAAGATTTGGTGCTATATCTATATATACAGTATGAAATCTTATATTTAAAAAATAATAAATTTCCAAATTTAAATTTTAAATATAGAAATCTATAAAAACTAACATGTGATTATTTATTGTGACACTGTCATAATGCCAGGCTGCAATTTTTAATTTATTTAATTTAAAATATCAATATATGCTCTCCACCTGAAATTACTAGTGGCTTGCTCCTTTACATTGTACTTTTCCTTTAACAACAGGTCATCTAATTAACACCTTTCAAGGGAAAATTTTTGAATTGAAATAACATGATCTCCGGTTTGCATCAGATGTTAATGTATACTTAATCAGGGTCTCCTGCCCTAAGGTTTCCATATCTGGTCTCATCTTTCATCAACCTAGCTCTGTTCTCATGATTAAGGAAAGATGGACAGACAGAAAAACAGTGGTGGGAATTTATAGGTCTACAATTTTTTCAAATTGCAGCTCAATTACAATATTTAAATATTGAATAATCATGCAGTATTTGTTAAATTAAAACATTAATTTCAAAGTTATTAATTATATTAAAGATTATTCAATAAAAAATATTTTGTAAAAGAAATATATACAAGTTGTAATTTTAATTCACATTTAAAATAATTAATTATCTCTTAATACCGGTAGCAGATGCTATTTCATTTTTTATAATTATTCACTATTAAACTTTTTTATACATGTTATGAAAAACAAAAGATTATAGTAATTCTGGAATATTGAAATCTTTATTCAATAGAACATAAACCAAAAAATGAACACTTGAAAGATTTATAGGAATCAAAAGATTTACATATAAAATGTTTTTTTGAGATATTCTTCAGCTTCTATTAGAGGGTTTCAAGCCGAGACAAAAGATTTCATCTCTGTATGCAAATCTGATAGAGTAATGAAATCATATCTATCTTATCATAAGTCTGATTCCTATAATCTTTCAAGTATTCTATATAAAATGGAGTTATTTACATGTAAACAAATTTTTAATTTTATTCAATGTATAAAAATAAGTTTTTGTAATGAGATATGTTGTAATATACAGTAATTTGATAACATTTTAAAAATATATCTATATAATTTTTTTTCCAGACAAAAACCTTATTTACGTTTAGGATGGTTTAGTTTTGTTGAAAATTGTCTTAGAAATCAAGTTTTATGGTTGGATTGTTTTAAGATATTTGAGAGAAATTTGGAAAAAGTAATTAGGAGGTAATTTTGTATTATGTGATTGATGTTTGTTTGAAAACATTTTTAAACAGATAAAAATATATTATATTATAAGTTTTGTTTATAAAATTTCTAACATAGATTTCTTAATTAAAAATTTTTTCTGTAATATAGTGAAAGTAATTTTTTGGAATTCTTAGAGGGAATTAAAACCTGTCCTAGAAACATTAAAAAATATAATGCTGTGAGTATGATATTAGAAAGTTAAAAAATATATTAATCTTATAAACTTTTTTATATCATAAAAATATTTAAACTATTTTAAAAGGTTGAGTCTTACTTAAAGAAAATGTCCAAGAAATTATCTTCATTACAAAATTCTCAGATTAAAGAAGTATTGGGTATGTTTTCAGATGGTAAACAACAGTTGAAAAAAGAGTTACAGCAAGTGGAGTCTTGGTTACAATTGAAACTTTGGACTTAATTTATTCAATAAAACTCAGTTTGTGTGTATATTTATATATATAAACATTAGAAATATATCATCAGTTTGCTATACATTTTATATCTATTATATGAGCAAATTTTAGCTTTGTTTCTACAATGAACAATGATGGATTAAAGAAACTACAGTTTACAGTTGAGATTGCCAGTCATCCTGTTTTTTCTGGGACAGTTCCATTTTTCAGTGTTTTATCCCAAGTCCTGGGCAGCACTATCCTAGGACAATATTTGCAAATGCCCCACATTTTGCATTTGCAAAACAAACAATATTTTTAAAATAAATCTATATGGCAACATTTCCCACAGTCAAGTTTGGGATGACAGGATTAGAAGAGATCAGAGACATGACATAATATACATTTACGCAGTGCAATTATAACAAACCAACAAAACTCCAGTAAATATATAACCTAGTTCTGCTGTTTTTATTACAACTTTTAAATTGCTGTCTGACATATTTGCATAAGTTGTGTTTACAGATTGTATTGTGCTGTACTAACATTTAGCTTGAATATTAAATATGTCTGCTAATAAGAAATTGAAAAAGGAATGCCACTTTAAACTTTATAATGAGAGAATACATATCATTATCAAAACATTTATTACAATTTATTACTAAAACTGATATATTTGAAATAGTTGAAATCATTGATAAATACACAATTGCTAGTGATTATTTGATGTGAAAATTAAAAAAGTTAAATTGAAAATAAGTTTTTTTTTTAATATTCCTGTTATAGTTTTGTTGTTTCACTTGTATTTTTTATGTATTTTAACAATATATATACAAATTAATATAGAAATATTCAATTTTTGTTGGGCTGCAATTTTGAAAAAATTATAGACCTATAAATTTCCATGGTCAATTGTCTTTCCTTAATCTGGAGAACAAAGTTAGATGAAAGACCAGAAACCTGAGGGATAAGGAGACCCAAATTAACTTTGTATGAATTTCTGATGGAAACCATTAGTCATGTTATTTCAATTCAAAAATTTTTTTCCGAAAGGTATTACACACAGTAAGTTCAAAATCTTCCCAAAGGACATAGGAGATTATGTTAAAGAACTGGAAAATGTTGCAAAGAACATTTAGTATGAAAAACTTTCTATTTATTTGCATACTTATATGATTATGTATATAATATAATTATCTGAACAACGTAATTATTTTATTAATAATAGTAACATACAAAGAACATATATATGCATCGGGAGGATTTTGATGCAAACAAAAATCTGTATCATATTTGTGGAAAAAGTACACTTCAGTAATCAGTATAGCTTCCTTTGGCCTTTAAAATATTCCTAATGCGATCAGACATAGAATTAATAATAATCCTGCAATTGTGCAATGTTATTTTGTTTTACTCATCTTGTAGCCTACTTTACACATTCTCATAATTGGTTAGTGGCATGCCGTCCTTGGAAGCGGTGGAAGCACCGCTCCCTTGTATTTTCTAAAATATAAATACATATTGTGTGACTACTTTCATATTTTGACGTACGTACTTTGAATTAATTAAAATTAATATTTTATTATAACCGCATTATGTATCTTATTACAAATTTCTATACTACATGTGAAAAAAACGATAAGATTGCTATTGTATATTCGAATATCAGTGGTGGAATGAAAGCGCTGTATTGTCGAATAGGAGATAGCTTCTATGGCCAAAATATCTGAATGGTGTAAAGCAGCCAGATTATATGCATTTGTACATGCGTTTTACAGAGTAACAACCTCATGCGGTTTAGCTGGTGGATGCTACACACCATAACGCTTCCAATGATTCTATCCAGGACCGGTTCTGGGCTGTTAGCTGTCTGCCTGCTAGATGTTTGGCCGTCCTCGCCCCATCGTGTGAATCGCAAGTAGATTTATAACTTAACCCAGCCGATAGGAGTTTACTGGTATGTTTTTATTATAATTTTATATAGTTAACAGGAGTTTTAAAAAATATTCATTAAAATACTTGATATATTTATTCTGCTCTCTCGTCTTATATTACTTACAGATTTCAATGTTAAACATGTGATATTACCATTTAATAAAGTAAAATTTCTGCCAGCCCTTTTTTACAAGAAAATGTTATATTTTTAATTGTGTTGGGATTGTCACCTGTGGACATTTCAGACTATTTGACATATTTGTGCAGAGCTGTAGCCTACAAAGAAAGGTCATCTCTGCAGTGAAGAATGGTTGTTCCAGGTGATTGGACATGGCAAGCAAGCAAGATATGACTAGTATTTGTAATGAAATTTTACTTTATTAAATTGTAATTTCTGCCAGCCCTTTTTTACAAGAAAATGTGATATTACCATTTAGTATGTCCCATCCATAAGGGGATGCAGAAAAAAAACATGTACAATCCTTATACAATGTTAAAAAATTAACTGTTACTTTGGCAGTATCATTTACAGCTAGATGTAATGAATGAGATGCACAAGGTACAAAAAAGCCCTAGAATTTATTTTCCCTAAATTTATGATTTATGTATCCGTTGTCTCAAAAAATTGATTTTCTATTTCTTTCCCAAGACTACAAATTATTCAAGTACAGTACAAAGTAACTGGTTTCAAGTTATAAATAAAACCTTGCTGAAAGATCCGGAATTTTACTTAAACAAAAGCTTAACCGAACCAATTTCTAGCCGAGTACAATGGGTAGCCGAGTAGGATTCCTTCGTAATATTAGATGTAATAAAAACAGTAATTTTTCCAGTTCAATGAGAGTGACCGAAAAGGTGTAGATTTTGGAAATTTCCGTGGACACTTAGTCCTAAAACGAATTAGTTAGAAAACAAAGGACAGACAGTCTATTAAGTTTAACGTATTTAGATTTTTACAGCTTTGGTGAGAAATGTTTAAAATTTACAACCCTGTCGCGTCCTTTAAGGTATACTAGTGATGCGATTAAACAGGCATTTGACATTGACCGGTATCGACACATTTGGGATTTGCAGTCCGCGTGTCCATGCAACCTACTTTGATTCTATACCTTAGCCACTCGTATGGAGCTATTCTCTTTCTTCTTCGATGGTGTTTATATGGAGATTTTAGCTCAATGTAGGCTCTTTCTCCGAGTAGACTTGTGTATGTGTATGATCGCTAGGCGACCGATTAGCCGGCTGTATCGAACAGCCATACGTACGCGCGGGAAATAAATGCCTTCCGGGAGGACTTTTATGGGGAACTGGCCTCCTATTCAGTCGTTATAGGCAAGGAGAAAACCCGGAAAACTCCAAGCAGCCAGCCTGTCCGACCGTGGCGCGAACCCACGACGAACCTCCCAGTCTTTAGGGTCTGGTCACCACTACGATGAGCGGCAACGGAGACCACTCGCCCACTGTATGGAGCTATTTGATTAAGTGAATTGTTTTAATGTTATTTTTAGTCAACGTTTCTTTACAAAACTATATTTAATTATAATTTTCTTTAAAAGTATATTAATACAATTGAAGAATATTTTCTACCAGGTATGTATATCCACCATGCATTTTATTTCACCAAGTTTTTAGAATTTTATTTTTAACTGTAGCCCTTATATCGTGGCTAGCGATTCGGAATGCAATTGTGATATTAAACTTTAGTTCTTCGCCCGAGTTAACTCGGGCAAGTTACATAGCGTTGCATAAAACCCGGGCCTTTGTGACCCAAAAAAAGTTTTTTGGATTTTTGGAATGTTTTTTAAGTCTCCAAATTTTTCAAAAATTTTTACCCGCGCGAAAAAATTTTATCGCGATTTTAATTTACCTTTAATGACGCACGATTAACGCTTAATTGTTTTTAATGCAATTTTTTATCAAATTTAATTAATTGTTCTAAAGTTAAGTTCTAGTGCACGAATTTTACTTCGGTAAAGTTATTTAAAGCTGCTTTCTGATATCAAAAACGACCTCCAATAGTTTTTTTAATTAATATATTTTATTATATATACGTTTAATTAAGTCGGGGGGTCGAAAATCGCAATAAAAATTTTAATTTTTTAAAAATATTTAAAAATATACAACCAGCTAGTATTCACCCTACTATAAACCCATCGCCTCCCGAGACTTCTATGAGAATGTCCAGGGAAATCCAACACCAGCTGTTCTCAAGGTCATCCAGCTGTAAACACAATGACTCATCGGTGTCAAATTTCGCAGAAAGGCGAGACAATGGAAAATAAAGTTTGAAGCCTTTTCTTTAAAATTAACGCATTTCTTTCTGTTTTTTTTTCAGTTTTAAGTATTTTTTTACGTTTAATTACTGTACATTAATATCAAAAATTGCTGGGAACTAAAGCGATTAAAAATACTTTTAGAGAAGTATACGGTTTCTTTTGGCTTATCGAACAAATGAATACGAATACATCCCGAATACGAATGGTCCATTCGTATTCATTTGTTCATTTTGCACCATCACTGACGCGCGATTAACTAATTGCCCCTGAAANTTTACAAGAAAATGTTATATTTTTAATTGTGTTGGGATTGTCACCTGTGGACATTTCAGACTATTTGACATATTTGTGCAGAGCTGTAGCCTACAAAGAAAGGTCATCTCTGCAGTGAAGAATGGTTGTTCCAGGTGATTGGACATGGCAAGCAAGCAAGATACGACTAGTATTTGTAATGAAATTTTACTTTATTAAATTGTAATTTCTGCCAGCCCTTTTTTACAAGAAAATGTGATATTACCATTTAGTATGTCCCATCCATAAGGGGATGCAGAAAAAAAACATGTACAATCCTTATACAATGTTAAAAAATTAACTGTTACTTTGGCAGTATCATTTACAGCTAGATGTAATGAATGAGATGCACAAGGTACAAAAAAGCCCTAGAATTTATTTTCCCTAAATTTATGATTTATGTATCCGTTGTCTCAAAAAATTGATTTTCTATTTCTTTCCCAAGACTACAAATTATTCAAGTACAGTACAAAGTAACTGGTTTCAAGTTATAAATAAAACCTTGCTGAAAGATCCGGAATTTTACTTAAACAAAAGCTTAACCGAACCAATTTCTAGCCGAGTACAATGGGTAGCCGAGTAGGATTCCTTCGTAATATTAGATGTAATAAAAACAGTAATTTTTCCAGTTCAATGAGAGTGACCGAAAAGGTGTAGATTTTGGAAATTTCCGTGGACACTTAGTCCTAAAACGAATTAGTTAGAAAACAAAGGACGGACAGTCTATTAAGTTTAACGTATTTAGATTATTACAGCTTTGGTGAGAAATGTTTAAAATTTACAACCCCGTCGCGTCCTTTAAGGTATACTAGTGATGCGATTAAACAGGCATTTGACATTGACCGGTATCGACACATTTGGGATTTGCAGTCCGCGTGCAGTGTTGCCAGATCTGAAGGTTAAAAAGTAGCGTGGTTTGTGTTCCAAAAGTAGCGGATTTGAACTGTTTGTAGCCCAAACAATAAAAATGAATTATTTTGCAACTATGCAGTTTTACTAATGAAATAAGTTTGTAATACAGTAGAGCGTCGTTTATCCGAAGGTCGGTTATCCGAAAGAATTCCAGTCGACAAATTTAAATTTTCGCCAGTGCTGTGCAATGTTCCCTCTAATTTTT